GCAGGGAGCCCGATGCGGGACTCGATCCCAGGACTCCAGGATCATGACCTGAGCCGAAGGCAGTCGCTTAACCAACTGAGCCACCCAGGTGCCCCAAGGCTTTGGCTTTCTTGACCACTTGGTAACATTGAATACTTTTTCACTATTCTTTTTCTTGAAAGTCTTTCCTGTGACCCTGCTCTCACCTAGTGGTTCTCTTACCTCCCTATCCTCTTCTATTCACTCTCCTTTTATGGGCTCTTCCTCTCTTCATGCCCGTTTAATCTCAGTGTTCTTCAAGGACCTATCCTAGATCCTAGTCTCTTCCTACCTACACTTTGATAAGCTATTTCCCATCACTCATATGGTTTCAGATAGCCATATATCTGAGATTACTCTTTTTAACTTCAGTCTTGCTTACAGAACATTTCCACATATGTCTGGATATTTCACAAACATCTCAAGTTCAATATATTCAATTGAGCTCACTCTCTATTGGGTACACTACCTCATATTCCCTTGGCCCAAATTTTACCCCAGCCATGCTGCAGCAAACACTTCTGCACAAACATAATCAGATACACCCTCGCTTCAGTTGTACCCCACCCTTGTCACTTCCCTCCCTGGAGTTAGTCTCTGACTTTGCCATGGGGATGACTACAGAAACCCTGGGTGTTCATGCAGCAATACTTAACCAACAGGGGATGGAAGCCGGTAGATAAATGCTCCCCACTTCAGGGGCAGATAATTCTGAGGCTCATTCAACATGACTCCCAGGTCCCAGTGGGATTGAGTCTCAGTTGCCCACGGCAGTGACTAACTTGATTACGTGCTATTTATTGGCTTTTTCTCCTTCTCTTTTTAACAGATACTGTCATTAGTATGATGAATAATTTCATTATTTTAATGATTTAAATCTTGCTTTATCAAATTATGGTATAATGCAAAAAAATATCTCAGTGGCAGGCCAGTAAAAGTAAATTGCTAGTGTGTTAGGTGAAATTAAATTTACACTGCTACTGGTGGATCAACTTAATGGGTATAGAAAATAATGTATTAACTAGATCAGTGGCTACATATCAGTCAAAGGGCAACTTACAGCTACCTTCCAATGTAGAAACAAGGTGAAGCACAGAAGTAGCTACAGTTGACTCCATTTCATTAGCTTTTCTGTAATATCAGAGATAGTTAACTTCCAGGATTTAGCTTTTTGACCAGACAAATCAAGGAATCAGAAAAGAAATGGTGGGACAAATCATTCCCAGGTCCTCCAACTTTATCATCATGGCTGTAATTTTTCTGTTTTATATTGACAATTTTGGGGTGGTGGGGGAGCTCTAGTGGCTTCTACTGGGCACATCCATCGCCAGCACCGTTCGTCCTTTGCACATTCTAATAGAACATCCTCCTCCCTCCAGAATCATAATAAATGGATTCTAATATCCTGCTCAGAAAAGGTGAAATGATCACACAAAGTATCTTTTATCTTTCACTAGCTGGCAACCTTAGATACTTCCTCCTCCATATCCTGGTTGGGTTGTTAAAGGTTCATACATAACATCTCTTCCCCACCTGAGATAATAAAAGATCCAACTCAGAAAGAACAAAGGAGTCAGGCACACAGAGATCAAAGCAGCTGTTTTGAGATCTGTTAAAAATGTGTCTGAGGGATGGTAACAACAGGCTTCCCAGGCTTGGACACCACTTGACCTACTGGAAGCAGAAGACTGCCTTCTACAGGTGCAGAGTGCTTGCCACATGGCCAGAAGCAAGCATCCCTCCAACATCTCCAATGATCAAAATAATCCTTTTATCTTTTCCCTCTAGAAGCTCCAGATGGCTATCCAAAACTGTGCTGTTCAATACAGCTAGCCACAGGTGGCTACTGAGCACTTGAAATGTGGCTAGTCTGAATTTGAGATGTGCTCTAAATGCAAGGTAGTTGAAGATTTAGTTTTTTAAAAAAGGATGTAGGGTATCTCAATACGTTTTATATTGATTACATGTTGAAATAACATTGCATGAAAATTTTAAATATTTGAATTAAATTCAAATATTGAATGAAATATTAAAATTAATTCCACCAGTTTCATTTCAATTTTAAAAATATGGCATACTTCCAATTTGACCAATTTCTGATTCCAAGATTTGATACTCCTAATGATCATTTGGTGAAGCTAAAACCTCAAAATTTGGGTGCCTGGGTGGCTCAGTTAGTTAAGCGACTGCCTTAGGCTCAGGTCATGATCCTGGAGTCCTGGGATCAAGTCCCACATCAGGCTCCCTGCTCAGAAAGGAGTCTGCTTCTCCCTCTGGCCCTCCCCCCTCTCATGCTCTCTCTCTCAAATAAATAATCTTTAAAAAAGGGGGCACCTGGGTGGCTCAGTCATTAAGTGTCTGTCTTCAGCTCAGGTCAAGATCCCAGGGTTGTGGGATCGAGCCCCGCATCAGGCTCCCTGCTTGGTGGGAAGCCTGCGTCTTGCTCTCCTACTCCCCCTGCTTGTGTTCCTGCTCTCGCTGTCTCTCTCTGTGTCAAATAAATAAAATCTTAAAAAAAAAAAACCCAAAATTTAAGGTCTCCAGTACTGTATGCCCTCTTGGAAGATATCAGTTAAAAGGGAAAATGGCCCTGCCCTTAGAATTTTTAGTAGGAGGTGGAAGAGTACTTCACATTTTTAAAAATGCTCTGCAGATCACTAAATTTAAAAAGGGAACAAAAGGAAACTATCTTATTTATGTCCCCATTCTGTTTCACTTAACACTATACTCAAAACTCCATTAGTATTCTGAATTTGTTCTAGTCTCATCTTGCTGACAATGGCAGAATATCTTGGGGAAATACTTGATCCTCAATTTACTTTTGACAAGGGAATAAATTGAAGATTCAGAACTCTCAGATATAGTCATTGGTCAAAGTTTGTCAATAGTCCCTTTTATTTTCTACTTGACATTATTAAATAATACCAGATATTATCCACTCTGATAGATTCTGCACTCTCTGAAGTGTTTTTCTTCAAGTTGCTTCAAGAGTCCACACGTGAAGTCTTCCCTGTCACTCATCTGCTTTAAGAAAGGTGGACAAATAGGGTTGTTAGTAGATTTGGGGGGGGGGGGTGGTTCTGTTTGGCAATCCAGCTTCTTGAATCTGACTTTACCTCTCAGGAGAAATGCATCTTGTTCCACTGGGATTCATGCAGGTAAGCTAAATTCCAGACAGCCTTTCAGAATCAAGTCCTCTTCTGGGCTTCACATCAAGCAACTAGGAAGGGAATGCAGATGCCTAGGGTCAAAGCTGCCTAGTCCCTGACCTTTAATAAAATAAAAATATAGGGCTGGGCCCAGGGCATAGAAGAGTTTAGGGAGTCAGAACTTAAAGTTCAGTGATGTGGAATCACATCAAGGCAGACCTTAAACATTCAGAGAAGCTTTCATTAAACAGGGAGCTATTTTAGGTCTTGAGTAATAAGGCAATGATGAGCAGGAAGGGGTCATTTAGAAAGACTGGTCTAAGAGTAATGTGCAAAATGTCAGTAACATGCAAAATGTAATTTGTGACAGAAGTTTTTGATGTTAACCAAATATTGAGGTGCTTGTTTACTTTCCTAGCCTCTGGTGCTGGGTTCTGGTTTATGAGATGTGGACACAAGTGATGGCCCTTAAAAATATCCTAAAATATCTTTCAGTTTTCTCTTTCATGATAACCTTAGAGGCAACATGTTCTAAATGATGAGGATGGAGTAAGACAGACTGACTCACATCAGATTTTATGTGAGACATGAATCTTCAGTTGGGGGGTTACAAGAGCCTAGCATACCCCTGTTCAATAGTGAAGAGGGAAGAATTCAAATTAGGAAGTGACTACCACAGTAATGGGAGCCTGAGAGGATAAAGGTGTAGGGTAGACTGAAAATTCAGAGACAGGATGGACATCCAAGAGGTGTTTTAAATAGAGAGAACTCGGTAAGTAGAAAAGTCATTAATTCAGATAAATATTTATTGGGCACCTATTATGTGCAAGGCACTGTGTGAGATGCAAAGACACATAAGTCATGCCTCCAAGTGCTTACAATCTAGTTGAGGAGATAATACATGTACATAAATTATTAAACTAACCATATAGCATAATGGTTAAGAGAACAGACTTTGAAGGTAGACTTGTATTCAAGGATTAGCTTCACCTTTTACTAGCTGTGTCACTTTGGGCAAATTATTTAACACCTATAAACTTCAGTTTGCTCACCTGTAAAATGAGGATAGTAACAGTACCTACTTCTACTTCATAGGGTTGGTGAGAGGACCAAATAATCTACTCTTTCCCAAACTCTCCGCTGAGTGCTTACCCCATAATAAGCACTCAGTAAGTGCTAATTAGTAGTAGTAGGAGGAGGAGGAGGGACCTAAAAGCTGGGACACAAAGAACAAGGTTGGTGCCCAAAAAAGCTCCCAGAGAAAGGGACACAGCAATAAAAAGAACTGTTCTGGAAACAACAGTGCTGCTCCAATTTTGCCTTCCCTCCTGTTCAAGCCTCCAGTTATTAAAGTGCAGTGATACATGGGCCCTCAGACAAGAGGCATGTCTGAGGATCACCTCCTAATATTTATCCTGTTGTCTGACAAACTTCCGCAAAATGTTGGCCCTTTAGAGTCACATCCTAACTTCTGGCATCCCACGTCAGTTCTATAACACAGTAGGTAGAGAATGTTTATTCACACTGTGGTAGCAGAGATGGAAAAGGAGATTAGTAGCCAGAATAGGTAGAATGCTCAAAGGATGGATTTGCTTATGACGGGGAAGACCTATCTTGAGTTTCTATGGAGGTCCTTTGACTAAAGCTTTCACCAACTCAGTCTATTCCTTGTTTGGCGTAACGCCGTTGATGTTGAATAACAGACGATTTAGAACTGAACACTTTCCCACACACGCTGCATTCAAAGGGTTTCTCTCCTGTATGCACTCTCTGATGTCGCGTAAGCCGGCATCTCTGGCTAAAGGCTTTCCCACATTCGGTGCACTCATATGGCTTGTCTCCAGTGTGAATCTTCTGATGCTGTGTAAGGGATGAGCGATCAAAGAAAGCTTTCCCACACTCACTGCACTGATAGTGCGGCTCTCCAGTGTGAGCTTTCTGATGTCTGTTCAGGGATGAGACACCATAGAAGGCTTTCCCACACTCATTACATTCATAAGGCTTCCTGCCAGTGTGGATGAGCTGATGTCGAGTAAGAATACTTTTCTGGCTAAAGGCTTTCCCACACTGATTACATTCATAAGGGCTTTCTCCAGTATGGATTCTCTGGTGTCGGGTTAGGGATGAACGGTCAAAGAAGGCTTTCCCACACTCGCTGCATTTAAAGGGCTTCTCTCCAGTATGAATTCGCTGATGGACAGTTAGGGACGAACGGTCAAAAAAGGCCTTCCCACACGCGTTGCATTCGTAGGGGCTCTCCCCAGTGTGAGACATCAGATGTCTACTGAGACTGCTCCTGTGACTGAAGGCCTTCCCACACTCGTGACAGTCATAGGGCTTCTCTCCAGTGTGAGTCCTCTGGTGGCGGATAAGGGATGAGTGGTCAAAAAAGGTCTTTCCACAGTGGCTGCATTCCTGGTCTCTCTCTTTAGTGAGAATTTTCTTGAGAGGGGTAGACCCTTGCTGCAAGCTTTCCTTCTGGGAAAGGGACTTCTTGCAGGTCTGGACGGCAGGGCTCTCCTTTCCTGCTTCCGACTCACCCTCCAGTGCATGAACTTCAAATTTAGGACACACAGGAACTTCTCCAAGCTTTCCCCTCACTGTTCCTTCTGATTCTTCTTTTTCTGAAGCACCGTGAATCTCAGGCTTAGTCTCCCAGTCTGGAACGGACAGAAAATACAGTTGTAGTTTCTTTCCTGGGGTAGGAACTACTACAGCAGAAAGAAGAGATGCTACAATAAATTGGAACAGTAGTGTACGGTAACCACCCTGCTTGCTCCCACAGACAGTTGTTCGCACTGGGAAAAGACTGAGACTTGGAAAGGGAACAGAACTGACAGTGGACAGCTCAGAAGAGAGAAGACTTTCCATTGGGAGTGTGGCCAGGATAAGGATATGGTAAGTGGGGGGGACAGTGGGCAACAGGAATATCGAAGTGTGAATGGGCAACGTGACAGATCTGACAGAATAATAACATTTGGTGGATAAAGATGAGTAACACTTTCAGGTGTGGAGAAAAAAATGAAAGCGGTGGGTGACAGAGAATAAACACGAAAGCAGAAGATGTGAATGTGAGAAAAACATGGTACCCAAACCTCCTTCCCACACACCCAAATAACAACCACAAAACAAAACTCTGCCCTGCCCTACCCTGTTCATACACAATTACCTAGAGAGACATTCTCTGGACATTCTCTCTCCTCAGATCCATGAAGATCAACTATCCAAGGCTCATCCCCTCTCTTCAACTGAAAAATGACATCAGGTCGAGGAACTGGAAGTCCTGCTCAGGGATAAAGAAACAAGCCAGGTATGTGATGAAAATACACAACTATTCCAAAGCTTAAACCCAACCTCCAAGTCCTTCTGAGAGAAAACGGAAAGGCAGAGGGCGCAAGCCAGGAACGCAGAGTACAAAGTAATGCAAAAGGATGAGGGAAGCTCAGAATGTGGGTCAAGACTGAGGTTCTAAAAAGGAACAAGTAGCACTTGGTAAAAAAGTTGATAAAGTCCATTTGAATTGATGTGTTTATTTTCCCTGTTGAAGTGAATGGGATGTCATAGCTTTAGCACTGGTAGGATGGTGGGGAAGAGCCCTTGGCTCAGGGAAGATAAGAATGAAGACAGATCATCTTGAGTAAAAAACGTGTGATTTTGTTGGTTGGTTTACCCTTTGGTATTAAGCTTTTATTTACACAAGTGGGTCATGTTTGTTGTAGGAAAATTAGAGGTAAGTAGAAATAAAAAGCAAAATCACCTTTTGTACTTTGTATTCATTTTTTCTTTCTATTCATTTTGAAACTGAATGATACCTATAGATACATTCTGTTAAAAACTGGGTTATAAAATAATGCTGACTTGTAAACTTGATTTTTTTTCACATAATAAATTTAAAATATTATTTTATTTTAATTAGCACAGATCTACATCACCACTTTAATGGCTACATGATGTTAATTGTATGGAATAATCTAATTTATTTAATCTCCTGCGGACAGACATTCAGACTGTTTTTACTGTTTTGCTATTGACAAACAATGATGTGATGAACATTTTTGTATACCCGGGGCTGCTGATCTTATTATTTGCTTGGGACGAATTTCTACTAGTGAATCTATCCATTTTTGGTTATTTAAAGAAATAGCATCCATCCTAGAAGTAGTCTTGAAGTCTAAACTTCACCTTCCATTGGGGACCCCAACTTGGGAAAGAGAACACTTTCTTACTGGGCCCAGGGATCACCTATCTGTTTAATGCTGATCATCTGCTGACAAATCGGCCACATCCATTGCCTCCCTGTGGCTTCCTGTTTCTGATCTTAGGAACTCTATTCTCCCCAATATTTCATCCCACCAAAGTCTGTGACAAAGGCTCAGCAGTCTCCCTTAATGGTCCCTGAACATTCCATCCTGTTTTTCCTATTTGGCCTATTTAAATTCTTGACCTGCCTCATAGAAAATCTGCAGTGTGACTCCTTTGACTGCCACCTGCTGCTTATTTTACACCTGTTTCTGAATCTGCACACTCAGTCTCTTATTCTGGAAGCCCCTAGGAGGTTGTCATTATGTACAGGAGCCCAACCTTTACTTCTCATGAATATCTCACACCAGCATTCTTTTTCTTTTCTTTTCTTTTTTTTTTTTTTTAAAGATTTTATTTATTTATTTGAGACAGAGAGA